TACAGAAACAACATTGAAGCCAGAAAGCTCGTTGACCCGGAATGTTCGGCTATCAGGTCTTACAAGACCTTAAGAAATTCTTAAAGGGATTATAAGCGGACCTTGCCCACTTGCCGATAATATCTAGGGGCTGCAATACAATCACCGCTACAGTGGGTTGGAACAAAATCCTCGAAGGCCAATTGCAGATAGGTATATGTAGCTTGCCTAAACCTTGGCTGACTTCTGAACCGCTCCTAAAAATTACACTTTTAGCCTGCTTATTATATTTCATATAGAAACCCAAAAAGTTAAAGTCCAAAGAGCCAACCAGAAGAACGCCAAGAAACCCCCTGAGTGCAGGGCCCGGCTTGCCAGATGACTCGCTGCCACCGTGAACAAAGCATCGAGCCCAATACGCTTTTTGTGGGTCTTCGAGACAAGTGTCTATATTGGCGTGGAGCTTCTACTAATCTAGGCCCCCCAGCAGCCCCTAAATTATAAGGGTACCCTTTTCCTGCTATTACAATTCACTAAGGAGACCCCAATATTGACAAGGCCAAAAGTGTACCACTGGGAGACCTACGAGTAGTAATTATTAGTTACTCTGCAACGAAGTAGGGTATCGTCACAAAGGGAATCTGAAGTTGCAGGAGTTCAGAGGAGCGGGCTCCAGGCTGTTAGGGTTTAGAGCAAGGGGCAGCTTAGGTTCAGGGCCCTAAAACCCTCAACCCTAAGCCCTGAACCCAGCATAGGTTCAGGGTGGGTCAGGGTGGAGGGCCGGGGCTTTCAGGGGCTTGTAATGCTTTAGGGTTTAGGGTTTAGGGTTTAGGGTTCAGGGTTTAGGGGGTTCGAGATGTTCGCCGTTCGGGTTTGCATCCACTAATGCTTTCACGCTTGGGGGTTTGGGGTTTTGGGTTACTTGGGCCTTTGGTTTAGCGCGCCGTTAGTGTGCCGGGTACCTCGACACCCCAACTAAGTTCAAGACTCCTGCTCACGGCCTGCAGGCTACGAAGTGCCGGGTAAGGCCCTATACCAAAACATACCGAAACCCTCACACCTATAATCTCCATTGTAGTTCTTCTTTTGGCTGAACCAAGTTTATACATAGGATTCTACAAGGGAACTTAAAAAATAACTACAATGGCGACTGTAGGTAGCCTGTTAATGGAAACCTTAAATTCTAAGCACACTCGCCCTGAGAAGCCTCGGGCCGAGTCCTCTTTCCAAACAGCGGGGTAGCTCCCAGAAGTTCCAAACATGCGGCCTCCCAAACCCAAAGGGTCCAAGTAACACTATAGTATATACTTCGGGGCCCGGATAGCTACTAGGAGCCTACGTACTATATTGGCACTTGGACCCTTTGGAAAACTTAGTGGTCCAGAAATCCTTCTGAATACCGTTTCTGCTGCATGCTGGGAAACCCGGAAGCTAGAACGATCCCATAAATCCCATAAGCGCTTCCCTGGCCAACTTCACACCATCGCACTCGCTCCTGTCGTCTGTAGCGCTCAGACTGCGAAAAGGTGCACTGTCATCAATACAGTGGCCTTGTTGATCAGAACAAGGTTTCGGGGTATACCATGGAATGAATATAATGGGGAACCCTACGAGGAACATGGGGTGTAGTGTATAAAAGTATGAATCTAATCAGGAACCTTTATCCCGTAGTGTGCGCTTGGAGAAAGAAAGTCTCGAGCGCAGCTGTGAAACGGAACAGGGGATTCGAAAGCTGAGCGAGCTCCCGCTGCAGGTGATGACATTTGCACAGGCCATAGCCGATTCTTTCGTGCATCGAGGATATTATGGGCGCATCAGCTTTAGACACCACTGCGCATGCCGTCCTGTAGCCCGAAGCCTGAACACCCGGACTCTTGGCCGGCCTAAAGACCTCAATAATTCGAACAAGCCTTTTTTGAGTTATACTATACTTATATTCATACTAAGGAACCCAAAGGGATGTTCGTGGCTATTCCGACCCAGAGGTGCTTCTTGGAGATGGGTCTCAGAAGCAGCTGCATCTCGCCTGCAAGGTCTTTGTAGATCAGATGCAGGCTGCAACTCGTCAAGGGAGTGACGGCATCCCTATACCCAGTAGCCCTAAACCCTATAAACCCTAACCCTATAAACCCTAAGCCCTATAAGCCCTAAACCCTATAAACCCTGAAACCTATAAACCCTAAACCCTATAAACCCTAAACCTTTCGTATAAGGGGGCAGGGGCCGCTTCCATTTCAACTGATCCCAGAATCCGAAACCCTATGAAAACCTGAACGGTACCGTTTTGTTCGGTCTGGCTCGCCTTTTTCGTCTCCGGCCCGTCGGCCGGGTAACGAGGCTGTCTCCCGGGCTTGCTGGCCTGCTAGGGCTCGCATGCAATATGTTTCAAGCCACTCCCTGTAGGTTGCTTATTTCCAACCGGTTTGCGGGCCATGTTGCAAGCCCGATTTGGGGTGAAAGAAAGAGCCTGCTGCCAGAGTGCGGGAGCCATCGTCCCTCCCTTTCCGCAGCAGGATAAAGGCGGTATTACGATTTGAACGATGTTCCAAACCTCACTGTTTCAGAGGAAACAGGAGCCTGCAAAAAGTACTCTGCAAGCTTCAATGCAACCAACGGCTTCCGAAACGGAATGCACGCCTCTGGTCACACTGACGTACGGAGCTGGAAAATCCGCACGGCCATGAATTGCTATAGCTGCTCTCATGCTATGCCCTTGTAGATCCACGCTGTGTTATTCGAAGGGAAGCTGTTGCAGTCGTATCCGCCGAAGTAGACGGTGCCAGCTTCATCTGAAATCCGGGGCATGGTTGCTTACAGATCCGGGGGCTTAGCAAGAAGTCACGTCAGGGTTTACGGTCTCTCAACTCAGACACAGCTAGACGAGGACTGTTGAACGCTCTCGCAACTCAATTCAGGGTTTATAGGTTTCAGGCAACTATACACGTAATTAACCACCAACTGAGGTACATGCGTGGAGCCCTACTTCTCACTAGCCATGAACCTGCAAGTAATGTAGGGGCCTTAAACATGTTAATAGGGTTTTGGGGTATATTCTAGTATAATTAGAATAATAAGGAACCCCCAAAATAGTCTATTATTACCATTCCGGTGGCGCACCAAAATAGTCCTAAACCCTAAACCCTAAACCCTAAACCCAAATAGTATAGGTAATTAATTCGGCCCGTATATTAGCCGTCTTCCGACCCCACCCCGGGCCCGAAGACTCCTCCGATCACTCCAAGGACGGGAGGCAGATCCTAACCACACCCTAAACCCCAGACCGTCTAAACCCTAAACCCTAAACCCTAAACCCCAAACCCTAAACCCTAAACCCTAAACCCTAAACCTTAAACCTCAAACCCTGTAACCCCCAAACCCTAACGCCTACCAACCGGGCAGACTTCGGAGCCTTTGGGGCTTAGGCATCCACCAAGTTTTGTGGATTTGCTATCGTGCAGATCTTGCCCGCCTGCACCATCCCTCTTAGGGCATATATATATATATATATATTATATGTGTGTGTATATATGTATATATATACATATATATACATATATATATATATATAAATAAATAAATAAATAAATAAACAAATAAATAAATAAAAATATATATATATAGGGTTTAGGGTTTAGGGTCCCAAACCCTAAAATCTTGCTCCTGCCTTTGAATGGCGAATTTGCATAGCAGCGAACGGCCGTAAGGGGCCGATGGCTTTTGCTGCCGCGGCCGCCCACTTCCAGGACGTAGTAATCATCGTGAGCCACACCTGCGGTATGCCGCAGAGGGCTTAGAGTTTAGGGTTTTAGGTTTAGGGAGGACTTTTCTGTTTCTTCTAAATATCAACTCTGGTTTCTTTTGATAAACCCCAAACCCAAACCCTAAACCCCAATCCCAAAATTAGAGCCCAGGCACGGACCGCAAAGCCGCCACCAGCCCAGTAATTCTTCTGCCCGGGGTCAGGGCCTGCACCCATAGCCTTGGAAGGTCTGGCTGATCCTAAACCGTTTGGGGTTTAGGGTGTAGGGTTTAGGGTTTAACGCTTAGGGTCTAAACCCCCCAAAACACATAAACATGTCATGTACACAGGACTCCTAAACCCTAAGCTTCCAGAAGCAACCACAAACTCTGCGCCAAAATCCCTCCAACAGGAGCCCCCAAAGCACCTAAACATAAACCCGTATAAATAGGGTCCCTAATCCGTGTATATATATATATATATGTATGTATACTTATTTATTTGTTGATTTATCTATTTATATGTTGTTCTATCTAATGTATATATATATATATATATAAACATACGGTTTAGTGTAGATTCCTTTATTGAAGATCATATCCCTACAGGAGGTGTGTTCTTCTTGTAGCAATTTGTTGGAGGTGCCTTGGTTGGGACCTACATAGAAAGCTGGAGCATGGGTTCAGGATGATGAGTACTAGAATTCCCCCTACTTTATGTTAAGAGCATGAGGATAATGATGCTCCATTCTACCCTAAACCCTAAACCCTTATACCGCCTAAACCCTAAACCCTCTGGCTTCTACTTCAAGACCGTCACAAACTGAACTTGGCCTCGGGACGCTGCCGCCCAGAAAAATCTGGAAGCCGATGAGGTGGCATCCTTTGGGTTTAGGGTTTCAGGCTAAGGGCTTTGGGTTTTAGGGATTAGGGTTTTAGGGTCTAGGGAAAAATGTTCAATTTCCAAGGGAACCAACGGCATGTTAATCCTTTAGGAACTGTGGCAGATTATAGTATGCCATCGTGCATGATGGCATACTCCAGAATTTCTATAGTATGTTATGGTATGTTATCTTATGTTAAGTGCACGGAAAAAATCAAGTCCGCTTTCTCCACTACCAAGCATCTCTGAGTACCGAAAGTAGTGGGCAGCATGTCGTTGTAGGCCCCGATGGAGTAGTGCAAGTCTTCAGTGCCCAAGTAGGCCCTGGCTTGCGGATGGAGTTCTCCTCCACCGGCGGCTTTAAGTTTCCATCATCGCTGGGATACATCCGAAGGATCCATTAGTGGGATTGGCCATTTGGGTTCCAGCAGCAGAGGATGGAGTCCTGCTTGGGGTTCGATGGGCACGGCACGGCCGTGAGGCCTCGAATCCCACCAACCGCCTCGTGGAATTTGCCATCGCTTCGAAACTTGGCAATGTCTGTGACCACTTTCCAAACCTGATGGAGTTTCAGGATTTGGGTTGGGGAGTGGAAGGGGTCTGAGGGTTTGAGGTCGTGAGGGAACTGTCCCGGACTACATAAACCCAATGAAGCACACATAGTGAGAGTCCGAAAGACAGGGTTGTGGCCGTCGACCCGTTGCAGAATCAGGGAGGCAGCCGACATGTACAGCTTGCCGTTGGCACTGACGAAAGCGAGCGGGCGAAACTCCAGTTTTGTTGCTCCTCCTTTGACCGCTGACCTCGAGGCACCGCACACATCGCTTTGCTGGCCCTTGATTCATCGCGATCATAACCAACCTAAACCCTAAGCCCTAAACCCCAAACCCTAAACCCTAAACCCTAAACCTATACTAAGCCGAGCTGCAGGTCCAGCTTCTCGGGATCCTTATCCCACACCACGTGGCCTGGCGTCTTACTGTCAGGATCGTAATGCCCGGACAGTGCTCCTCGCACGCCATGCAAGGCAAAGATTCCTTGCCGCGAACGACAGGCTTCCGAGAAGGCATGGGGGGTACCCCAACCCCCCAGGTACCTACTATATAGGGTACTAGAGCCCCTAAGGCCCTATATAGTATACCTGGAGGGTTAGGGGTAATTAGGTCGCATAATTTGCGGATCCATGACTACATATCCAACGTGCCGGTATCTGAGCGCACGGTTATGTAGGTCGCATGGAGAGTGGCCTCTTGACCTTCATCAATATAAGGACCCGAATTCTAGGAAAATCTCAGCATGTCAAAGACTTTGCCTGTCGATCTGTTAGTCATCCGAGAGACGGTCAATGCCGGTGACTGCATCTCGATGCACGATCACTGCTCTTGCAGAGCCGCTGGGAGTAGGATCAGTAATCTTCCCAGTGTAGTTGGTCTCGTTCCATTTGTACTGCGTTCCAGGTGCATTCTGATCGTTGTCATCGCGAAACATGATGACGTTGCCATGGGCACCCAAGGAGTAGCATGCCGTTAGCTGCTCCACCGCCGGGCTCAACTCATTACCGCGGCAGTCACGTGTCCATGTGATACTCTTCAAGCAAGTGAACCGCACGGCATGCTCCGAGGACCCCTGGCAACGCATGTCCACCTGAAAATTGCGTCAAGTCAAGTCTTTGTTGAGAGGTCTATGCGGACATGCCTGATACGGATCCTTTCTAGTAGAATCCGCATCTCCAGAAGATAAAAGATGCCCCCAACCCTAACCCCTAAACCCTATAAGCCCTATAAACCCTGGATAAAGCCTTAGACTTTGGAAACAGAATCCCTAAACCCTATAAACCCTAAACCCTAAAGAACTTTCCCAGCCTCCCAATGGCCATCTGAAGAGCTCAGCCTGCCCACGAAGTTCTTACACGGCCGCTTCTGGAAGTCCGGGCCTAGGCTCCCAGTAGCCGAGAAGCCACTTCAAGGGGTTTAGGGTTTAGGGTTTAGGGTGGTTTAGGGCTTAGGGGCTTAGGGCGGTTTAGGGTTATAGGGGTTAGAGGTTTAGGGTGTTTTTTAGGGTCTTCAGTCAGGAAAACCCTAAAGCCTAAACCAGAATCCCTAAACCCTAAACCTAAAGCAGCAAAGGGCACAAGGCTACTAAGGGGGAAATCGAGGGGCTCATCCATTTTCCAAAGGAGGCGAAGAGCTCCTAGGTTCGCCACTGGCAGCCTGTGAAACCTACCTATGGAACCTATAAGGTAACTCCGAAAAGGAGCCACCAGGGAGACAACGGAGACTATGTGTAGTACTATAGGTATATATTCCCAAATAGTAGATAAGATCCCCCCAAAACCCTAAACCCTATAAACCCCTAAACCCTAAAAGGAGGAACACACAAAAATCTCCCAGTCAACCGACCTCGGCTCCCCGTTGTGGGCCACGATGTGCATGGTTTCGGTCGCCGTGAGGTCGGCGAAGTCCTTCATCCCTGTTGCACCTGGGAGTTTGCAGGGCTCAGGTTTTGGTCCTTATATCAAGGATCCTACTGTTTAGGGTACTATATTACTTGGGGTTTAGGGTTTGGTCCATATATTAAGGGTCGTAGTATTTAGGGTACTATATTAAGTAGAGCCCCCTGTGTTCTCGGAAGTCCCCCCCCACCTTTCCCGAAGAGCAGCGACGGGTGCCAGCGCAGCTTAAAACGATCATCCGGAGGCGGTGGAGGCGGTGCAATCGGCCAAGTGTGCTTCTGACACAGCGGTCCGTGCTGACCATTTATCCGGCAAGCGTTGCAGCAGAAGCCGTGGGCTGGTCCGTGTGCCTGGCAAAGTTGCAGCCTTCGCGGGCGCACTTTGGCCTCGAAGGGCCCCCAGCCGCCGGGGCTTCCCGTACTTGTACGTGTACCGGTGTTGTGCGCCTCTGCTTGCAGCCCATGGCTCCAAACCCGTGGGCACTATCAACCCGACACTTGCAAATTAACCTCAGCATGCTGGTTTCATAACCTCTCAAAAACTTGGATGCAAGGAACCCCTCGGATGTTGGGCTCAAGAGCAGAGGTTGACCTATATGTGCCACACTCCCACGACCTGCGTGTTGCCTTCAGCAACCCTTAAGCCAACAACAACACACGCCAGCGCACAAACTCACAAGCTGAGCTTCTGTAGACTAGCGTGTGGAGGTACTCCTACATTGCTGTGGTCTGGCATTATAGTCACGCGACATCTGCCAGCCACGACTAACACGGTTTGAATTCAGATGCTTTTCCAAGTGCACTACAGATCTTCACGCTCTAAGCGACGAAGAGAAAAATCGACTGAAGATGTGTCATGATGTCCCGTCGGTGTGTGGTTGCGCGTAGAGTTTCCCAAAAAGTACACACTAATTGGATGAGATGCAGCGGTGCAGTTTACAGAATGATTGATGCGGCTGTACGTTGTTCATGCACTAGTTTGTGCGAGTTTCTTTGTTCTTTGGCGGCAGGGGTCTACACGAGATATTCTACTGTTGTGTCAGGTAAGTCGGCGGCATAGCTCCGTCGTTCTGGGGTGCTTCTGTGTGTCTTCTGCACTGTCGGGGTATGTTTTCGTGGGGCAAGCGATGGCATTCGTTGGTGTTGGGCTTCGTGTTGCTGGTACAGCACATGGCTGTGGTCGCGGGGTTCACTTGCAGGTGAAGGGCGCATGTCACATGGTGAGAGACGATATTAGACGGGCGTCGGCTGGTACAGTGCAGTGGCCGCCGGTGCACCCGTCAATTATGCACTTGATGTGTTTTTGCGCCCCGCGGCATCTGACCAAGCCCGTATACATGCCTCAGAAGGAAGCCTCATGCAAACCAGCCTCCGCATTTTCAGTAGCGGCTCAGCTTAGACACACCATGGCCTCAGCTGCGGTGCTGAGCCGCTCCATCCTCCGTCCTCTCCAAGGAGTGGGTTTGGAGCGCTTGATCCGGGGTGAGTGTAGAAGTTCAGGTTTAGGATATGGGAAGGATAATGACGGAAGAGACGATGTTGGTCACAGGGCTGGCTTCGGCTAGGCTCGCTTTCTGTGCACTCTCGGAATGTTTCCTGAATCAGTCAACTTTTCCAACATAATGCAGCTACTTAGGCCTTAGATTCCAAGCTTCGAGACCAAGCCAAAACTGCATTTCCAAAGGACCATACAACATTCAGACAGAATAGAAACAGCTGTAGCTACAGAAACACATCGTCGCGGGCAATCACACCTCGGAACCCCACCCTCCTACCTATAGTCCCCATGGCAGTTCCTCTTTGGGATTACCTTGCAGGGTCCTAAATATCAAAAATGTTTCATCCAAAAGACCAGGAATAGTATAACCGGTGACCACCGAGCTCCAAGATTCGGATAAGGAGTGTTGGGCTTAATGTTTGGCCTTTACTAATGTCAGTTGTGTTTTTGGACTCCTTCATAGTTATAGCTATGATATGGGGCCCGAAGAATACCATTGAAATGATTGAGGCTTCAATATCATGCTGTTGGGGGTCTTGGCTCACAAAACTCCTTGTAAGCACGGTGCAATCCCACAATCCTTGCAGCACAACGCTAGCTGACAATATATTCCCACAAAAGTAATTACCCATGTCGTAGGTTACTGTCCCTACATGGCCAGGGCATACCAAACCATTAGATGCCTAAGCGCGCATCCAGCGAAACTTTTAACCATAGTTGTATGCTCATCGTCTCCCTATATCTATATCTACTCTCTCTCTCTATACATATATATATATATATATGGGTAGCAGATAGTTGTACGATGCGATAACCCCACACCCTCGTCTAATTGTAATGGCCCCTATACACGAAACCCGATATCGTATGCAAGCTTCGCAAAACCTAAACCCTAAACCCTAAACCCTAACTCTGATAAAGCGTCAACCCCTGTGTGCAGGGCCCGGCTTGCAAGATGACTCTGTGCCACTGGTGGAGCAAGCGTCGAGCCCAAAATGCTCCAGGGAAGAACTGACCAAACCCCACTTTTGTCTGGTTCTCATATGTAAGTAAAAAAATATGTGTATATATATATATATATGGGGCCATTTTTCAGCACGGACTGAGGTGCCGGCCAGCGCCCATGCAACCCTCACCCCGTCTTAAGGCAAGAGCGTATAAGGGGCCCTAAACTTTAAACCCTAAACCCTCTACGTATATCACGGGGCCCTAAACCCTAAACCCTCTACGGATATCGGCTCCGATTCGTCTACTGATGGCTTCAATCACTCGAATCACTTTTGCTTTTTTTTGGGGGGGAAGTACTGATTTGGCTGAGGCTCTCGCGCCTTCAGTCTTGGAGCTGGGCGAAGGGCTTCAGGTTGCAACAGGTCTGGAGCCCTAAACCAAAAACCCCAAAACCTTTGGAGTTTAGGGTTCAGTCCAAACACACGAGACTACACCGCCATAGTATAGTTTTATCACCGGCATTATTTCTCTCGACCACGCTGGCCATCAACCCGAGTCTACATACTTCCTGCATCACTGCAAACTCTGCATAATCAGTTTATTCGACCTGGCTGAGAGGTTCAGAGGTTCACAGAACCTAACCATAATGTATAAACCAGTGACCGGTGAATAAACCCTACAACGACGGCCCGCCACATTTTCTTTCGCCGCAAAGCCATGCTGCCCCGCCTCAGTTGCTATCAAGTTGCCGAAGCCTCCTTCGATCCGCATTCACGACCGAACCAAACCGGAAATACTCCAGCCCCTATAAGCCCTAAACCCCTAACACTAAACCCTACTTGGAGGATCATGGGACTTAGTAAGTAAGGTTATAAGTCCCCCAATTGGGGTTATAAGTATAGTTACCCTAATTATAGCCCTACTTACTAAGTCCAATGATCCTTTAAGTATAAACTCTACGGCCACAGCAACGGGCAGTGTTTGAGCTTCAGAAAATGATGATGTGGAACCCGAACTTGACCCTACCATGGGAAAGGGTCTTTTTTTTAAGGGCGCCGTACTCCAATTGGGACCCGGAGAGTGACTCTACTTAAAGGATCATGGGACTTAGTAAGTAGGGTTATAATTAGGGTAACTATACTTATAACCCCAATTAGGGGACTTATAACCTTACTTACTAAGTCCCATGATCCTCCAAGTAATCTAGAGAACTACCCGCATACAAAGTTGACCACCCCAGAACAGGCACAAAAAGAAATCTCCAGTTACACAAAAAAAGTATGAAACCTGTATGGTCACTCATGATAGCTCTGCGAAGAAACACCTAAGCCTCGTACGCAAGCCCGTAACAACAGCTCTGCTAGGACCTACAAAACCTCTATAGCACTCCAAAATACAAAATACAGAAGTAACACATGAAATGAATCCTCCTACATCCCGCAGAAAATCCTCTAAAAACCCTTGGCTCTGACGGTTCGAACTTCCCCCTGCCCAATTTTCAGGCAGGGGGGAGAAAAAAGCGGTAGCTTCAAGCCCAATTGGATTTATGTGTTCTTGGAGGACGTCCTAATACCTAAAGCCCGGCCCTGAACCCTAAGCTTTCTTTTAAGTTGGGGTGACTTTGCTTTGATCCGCCCTAAGCTTTCAGGCTTTGGACTCTCGCAACAGGCTCTAGAGCTTCTGGTTTAGGGTTAACACCCAAAGCTACTGTCTGGGGGGGTTGGAGTTGATAGATTTGAGGGTTCGGCATGCCTTGGCCCATTAGGGCTGTAAGGTTAAGACTGACATGTCGGCTGTTAGAACTTTAGGGCTTTGATAGTTTAGGGTTTGAAATTAATGTGCGGCTGTGGGGTCTATTAGTCTACTTCTGGTGTGGTGAGAAAAGGATTGCGGATGATTGCGGGCTTTCGCGCTAAATCCTCTGCTCTGAATCGTCGTCTTCTGGAGGGTTGGAAGATGTCTCGCAAATGGACCATGGCTTTGGTACTGTGGTCGACTGCTCCGGCTGAGATTACACAGACACCAGTAGTGACAATGAGTACCAGTTTAAACTACTCCGTTCCATTGGGCACATCTTGTCGCGACGTTAACAGTTAGCAACCGGGCGCCGGTGACATCTATCTTCTTTATCATCCTCACTGGCAAACAGTTCTGATAGTGTTCACATGCTCCAGGATTGAGCCCCACCGCGTTCTCTTGCTGACTTCGCGTGCCAATGCAGCAATGGCTCTGGGTCGAGGGGGTGGGGGGGTGTCTTTTGGGGGGT